CAGATTGCGATTCAAATTATTGTTTGTCAAGCTTGGATACAAGTATAGTAACTATGTTCATAATGCTTGACATCTGTGCAATCAGTTGTTTCATAAGTGTCTTCAGCTCTTGAATGTCCTCTTGTTGTTGGTTATTGTTTGTGTTTGTTGGGAAGAACGGCTCGATCAATCCACAGTGGAGTGTGAGAGAACAATGCCCATAAAAAGTTCCGATTTCTCTGAAGATGGTTCTCAACCTATAATTCCACCTAACCAGCTTAATGTCCTCCCACAAGAGGTTTCTAAGACAGAACTACCGGCTCAAATTGTCACCGCAGGTCCACAGCCTGCAGTGGCAAAACCCCTCATAGTGATTCCACAAATGAATCAAATATTTGTTTCTCGGCTCCACCCTGATCTCACATCATTTGATGTCTCGTCTTATATCAAAGACAAAATAAATGCCGATAAAGTGAAGGTGGAAAAATTTAACTTTTCATATGGTAAAAACATCTCATCTTTCAACATAAGTTTTCCTGACGATTTTTTTAGCACCATATGCTCGAGCGATTTTTGGCCCGCTAAAATAGTGGTTTAGGAGTTCGTAGCAAAAATAAAAAAGAAAGGCCCTGTGGGTTCAAAACTCCCCAGCCGGGACCAACATACCGCGTCGTCTTTAGCTCCTCCCCCAAAAAACTAACCACTAATTTCCTAATTAGCTATCAGAATTTAAGAGGTTTGCGTCGCAAGCTAACCAGATTGTATACTGATAGCTTTTCGTTTGCATCCCAAGATATAGTTTTATGTTTATAGAGACCTAGTTAAAGCCGGAGATCATTAGCTTCGAAGTTTTTCCCGGTAAGTACAAAATATATAGGCATGACCATCCCTCTAGACGGGGAGGGAGCGTCCTTTTTGCAGTGGACGCTAACCTCACGTCAGAAAAATTTTTGACAGAAGATTTTTTGACCTTGAAATTAGATTTCCGATCTTGAGGACTATATAAGACACCTATCAGTTATAAAGTTAAATTCGAATTCTTTGTCCGATAGGGAACAGTTGGTAGTTCTAGGAGATTTTATTATACCTGAAACTACGTGGTCCTCGGATGATCATTCCAATGCTTGAATTTATTTAATTTATTGACGGTGTACTTGACATACCTCTGTGTCAGGTAAAATACGTTCGAAACACATTGGATCGATTACTTGATTTGTGCCTTGTCTCAAATTCTGAAACTGTATTTCTCTCCAGAGCAACACCACTTATGCTGCCTGAAGATCCGTATCATCCTGTTTTCGAGGTGACTATCGACACTGGAATAACAGTAAAAATAATGCTATAAAGGCAGCCAAGCAAACTCATTGTTTTCGGAGGACTAAGTTTCTGAGACTTAATCTTCTTATATCTGGCAATAACTGGTCTGATCTCTACTCCTGTCATAATATGGAAGACGCCATTACAATTTTTTATTCGGCAATCAAATCGTTTTTTAACTCGTGTGTTCCGCTATATATCCCATCAACATCCAATAAATCACCTTGGTTTAGCAAGGAGTTGTCACACCTTAGGAATTTAAAGTCCAGACTTTATAAAAAATATAAGGTTTCAGGTTGTGAGTCTGTTTTTGGAAAATACATAAGAGCTCGGTCAAACTTTACCGTGCTAAACGCTCAGTGTTACAAAAATTATTTAGGCCGTTGCCTCTCTCTTCATATTTCGAACATGGTTAATAAGGCTAGGGAAATGCTTGGATTTATTAAACGATGGTCGAAGGAATTTGAGGATCCTTACGTTACCGAGGCTTTATTTATATCGTTGGTCCGGCCAATCCTTAAGTATGGGGCACCCGTTTGGAGTCCTCAATACGGAGTACATGCTGATTGCATAGAATCAGTCCAAAAAAACTTTTTAATTTTTGCCCTACGCCGCCTAAACTGGAATGCAAACCTATTCCTACCCTCCTATTCTAATAGATTGCTCCTTATTATCTTGCCCTCCCTAACTAACCGAAGAACGATGCTTAGTACTTTCTTTATTCCTAATCTTATACGTGGTGGAACTACTAGTGGGACTACGCGCGTAAAAAAAAAAAAGAAATATCTCCGACCCCGGTTTTTTAGAATTAGGGCACCACATGCGACTCTGTTTTTCGGCCAGGATTGCGTTTTAACGAAAAGGCATCGTTCTTCTTATTTTGATTCTTAAATGATTTCTTTTTTCGGCTTTCACGTTCTTTTTATACCCTTGCAGAGCAAAAGGGCACGTCTGTCCGTCTGTCCCCCTGTCTGTTTTATGTAAACTAGTCTCTCAGTTTTAAAGCTATCTTGCTGAAACTTTACCAAAAGTTGTGTAGTTATTGCACGCAGTATATAAGTCGGAACGGGCCGGATCGGCCGACTATAGCGGTTAGCTCCAATGCGAGAAAATGAAATAAAAAATTCTTACGGCGTTGTTTTTGATCAGATCGACTTGATTTCTTCCAGATTAAATTGGGTTAAATTTTATTAAAATCTCACAACTCTATAATATAGCTGCCATACAAAATATCGAAAAATATATACCTATATAAATAATGGAAAAAAAAACTTATAACATCGTTGTTTTTAATTCCACGAGCATGATTTTCAATATACGGAGTTTTTTAACAACCCTGGAATCTAGAAAAAAATTTCATTAAAATCCGACAACTTTATCATTTAGCTGTCATAGAAAAGATCGAAAAATCTATATAGAAATAACGGAAATAACATTATGACATTGTTGTTTTTCATCAGACAAGCCAAATTTTTTTAAAGAGTTTTCTTACGACTCTTGATTAACGAATTAAATTTCATAAAAATCGGACGACTATATCATATAGTTGCCATATGAACAATAGTCAAAAATATATAAAAATAATACAAAAATCGTCATAGCTTCGATGATGTTTAGCCTTTATGTATTTTGTTTGACATACGACAATTGATGACTGCAAGGGTATAAAAGCTTCGGCTTGCCCAAGCTAGGTTCCATTCTTGTTCAACTTTGTTTGCGTTTCGAGCAAGATCGCCGATGGTCAGTTGGTATCTGGGCTTGGTGAATCACTCCGTGTTTTAATTCCTAATTGGAATCTAGCTTCTAGCTTTGAGAACAACCCTTTTGATAAAAATGCTCTTTGGTATTGTTTTGTGGATGTAGCGCCAACTTAGGCTTTCTTGCCTTTGGTAAAAAAATTACATGACAATTTTTTTGGCAGCACAATAAAAATAGGCAAAATATGATTATGACTTTAAAAATTTTAAGCTCGAAATACACACCAAGAAATTTATACATTTTGTAAACCTTATACGTTTTAAATCTAATATAGCGATAATTACAAATTTTAAGTCTTTTTTGAGTGTTGTCAAACTCAATGGTATCTTTCGCAGTTATAACTTTATACTTGACCTTTTTGGGTTCGTGAGGGATTTGTAAACAGTCAATCTAGGTCAACGGAGTGCTGGCTCTTTTGAAGGAATATAATTTTCCATACACCAGTTACGCTTTAATTTGAACTTCGAATTAAAGCAGTTCTGGAAAAAAGTTCGACCACGGTACTAGAGATTTGGTAAATATTAATTAGAGCTTAGGCTTTTAGAAAACTTATCGGCCAAGCCTTTTTAACCGAAGTTCTCAGATAGATGATTCAAATACTTGAAAAATACTAAAAAAAAAAGTAGGTCGAGTTGCCAATTTCCTAAAATAAACTTTGGTGAACTTTTTGCCAGGTCTTCGCACAAAGATTAAGAAATGTATTTACTTAAAGTGTAAATAAGCAAATTCAAAACCAAAAAACAAGAAGGGAAGCTATTGCTTCGGCTTGCAGTCATCAAATATGTCGATCACAATGCATAAGGGCTAAACAACATCGAAACTATGACGATTTTTCTAGTCATTTTCCATATTTTCGACTATTGTAGAAAACGCCATCTGGAAGAAATCAAATCGATCTGATCCAAAACAACGGCGTCAGAATTTTTCATTTCATTCTCTTGTATGGGAGCTATCCGATATAGTCGGCCGGTCTGGCCCGTTCCAACTTACATATATACTGCGTGCAATAACTACACATATTTTAGGAAAGTTTCAGAGAGATAGCTTCAAAACTGAGAGACTAGACGGACGGAAAGACGGACAGACGGACAGATGGACAGACGGACAGACGGACAGACGTATTTCAATTCAGATCGTGATGCTGGTCATTAATAGATATACTTTATGGGGTCTGAGGTGTCTCCTTCATTGAGTTGCAAACTTCTGACTAAAATTAAAATACCTTTTACTTTGAAAGGGTATAATAAACAATGGACGGAAAACACAAAACTATCGCAAAAATGTTTGACGCTTTCATAAAACTATTGGTCTCTGTCAGGTTTTACTGACATAATGGAGCAAAATTGGTTCCAAAAAAGTTGTCAACATAAATACTCAATTTTTTCTCGTTATGGAAAAGCATTGTGGAATCTTCTATTTATTCATATATCTCGCAATCATTTTTATAATGTATGTTCCTTATTTCTGCCGATTTTCCAATGCAAAAACAAAACAATTTTTTTTACATATGTTGGTCTTTTTTTTCATTTTATGAATGTTTTGCTCTTGCGTAAATAACGTTTATACGACCTTGGCAAAGTGTGGTGTATGAAAAAAGTATGTCGAGCTCCCTGTAAAGACCAAAAGACATGGTACAAAAAAAGGAGTGCTGGCTCCATTTTTTATAATAATTAAGAATTTGTAATAATAACGTTTTTAAATTGTAACGCAAATAGAAATATGTATATCTTTATAGTGGCGTACGCCAGAGAGGGGCTTCAGCACAAAAAAAAACCAATTGTGGCATTTAACATATGCAAATCTTGCGTACACCACTGTTAAGATATATTAAATCGCAACACACGTTTGTCACACTAAGTATGATTTAAAGAAACGGATGAAAACACTTTCATTAATATATTTTTGGAGGTCTAATTATTTCAAAATGCAAATGTATTTCTATTTAGAGCGCAGAAGTTGGGATGCGAAGCATTGTTATGTTGGATGAGCAAGGAGGTAAGAAAATTTAAAAAATACGCGTTTATTGGTTAAATGTTATTATATTTGAATAGTAAAAGTTCTAAAAAATAGGAAGTACAAGTTAAAATTCCATATTTATTTTATGTTAAGCGTAAATGGAGTGGTACTATATTCTTATCAGACGCCAAAGGTTGCAACTAAATTGTTAAGCTGGTAGAGATAACATTTTTGTTCTTATTTGATTTTTCAAAAAGTGTTTTTTAAAACAATCTAAAATCTTAAGTTTAGAGTGCTTCCGAATCCGTGTCTGAGTAAGACGTGAGACGTTAAGCTAAAATCTGCAAAACTATGGCTATTTAAAAACGCAAACCATTTTTTTTTTTGTCAAAAAAAGTAGTCAGTGTAGTAGATTCTATAGAAAACTGTATATTAAAAGGTTCATAGAAGTGATTAATAAGATTCAAAATTATTTGAAACTAAAGAAACAAAATTTTAAATTTCTTAGACATCGATTAATAAATCCAGGAACTCCCCTTGCCTTACTAAGTGAGGACGGCAAGATCGTCAACAAGCGTTACTCTTTCCAAGGTGTTCGATGACATCATAATTCAATACTAATTTTAATTTTATTATTTTTTTTTAGTTAATTGTGTATTTATTTAGTGCAGAATCTGTACAGCAAATTAAAGTACTTAAAATGTCACAAATGAGAAAAATAAACCAAACCTCAGCATTAAAATGAGGATTATATTATATATTAGGTTGTCAAAAAAGTCTTGCGGTATTTTCGCTAGTTGGCGCTGAAAGCGCGTAGTTCTTGTTTTATTCGTCGCATCAGGTCATACTATACCTTTTTGGAAAGCTCATTTCACGCGCTAAGACGTGTTTGATTGATTGTCTTTTCTTTTAAGTCGTTCGTTCGTTATAGCGTCGCAATCATGGAGCAAAATAAAGAGAAAATACGGCATATTTTACAGTACTACTACGATAAAGGCAAAAATGCACCTCAAGCCGCCAATAAAATTTGTGCAGTTTATGGACCCGATACAGTTTCCATTTCCACCGTACAACGATGGTTTCAACGTTTTCATTCTGGTGTAGAGGTGGTCGAAGATGCGCCACGCTCGTCGAAAATTGCGATAAAATCGCTGAATTGGTCGAAAGAGACCGGCATAGTAGCAGCCGTAGCATCGGTCAAGAGCTGGGCATGAGTCGTCAAACCGTTATTAACCGTTTAAAGAAGCTTGAAGTTACTAAGAAGCTCGATGTATGGGTGCCACACGAATTGACGCGAAAAAACATCTTTGACCGTATCGACGCATGCGAATCGCTTCTAAATCGCAACAAAATCGACCCGTTTTTGAAGAGTATGGTGACTGGCGATGAAAAGTGGGTCACTTACGATAACGTAAGGCGCAAACGGTCGTGGTCGAAAAGCGGTGAAGCGGCCCAGACGGTGGCCAAGCCTGGTTTGACGGCCAGGAAGGTTCTTCTGTGTGTTTGGTGGGATTGGCAGGGAATAATCCACTATGAGCTGCTCCCCTATGGCCAAACGCTCAATTCGGACCTGTACTGCCAACAACTGGATCGCTTGAGGACAGCACTCATGCAGAAGAGGCCATCTTTGATCAACAGAGGCCGAATTGTCTTCCACCAGGACAACGCCAGGCTACACACATCTTTAGTGACGCGCCAGAAGCTCCGGGAGCTCGGATGGGAGGTTCTTTTGCATCCACCGTATAGTCCGGATCTCGCACCAAGTGATTTCCACCTGTTTCTGTCCATGGCGAACGCGCTTGGTAGTCTGAAGTTGGCCACAAGAGAGTCCTGTGAAAATTGGCTCTTAGAGTTTTTTGCCAATAGGGAAGCGAGCTTCTATAAGAGGGGCATTATAAAGTTGGCATCTTGTTGGGAACGCGTCATCGAACAAAACGGCGCATATTTGACTTGAATCGCATTATTGTAACCAATTTTATGAACAATTGAAAATTCAATAAAAATACCGCAAGACTTTTTTGACAACCTAATATAGTATGTTAGCCTTATTGGTTCTTTATCGTCTTGGCAAAGCCTTGCCTTTTAATACACCTCAAAGGTCTCGCTGGGAATAGGTTCCTAGCTAGTAATTTGCGGTGTCTTCTTAATCTATCTCTGTATCGGCTTGTGAGTCTTGTGTATTAATCTGTTCTTTGACAGTGTATAGATTTAGGTCTCTGTGAAGTGTCGTGCCACGTACATACCAGGGACAGTCGGTAATAGTACGTAGAAACCGATTCCGCAACACTTGTATCCGTTTGTAGTTCGATTTGGCTGCGATCTCCCAAATTTGGATATCATAAAGCCAGATTGGCAGGATACAGTATGCATACAAGGTGTGTGTCAAAAGTTTCCGAACTTTTCAAAAAGAAAAAAAACTACAAAATAGTTTGGAATGAAACTTTGCATTTATTCAAAATAGTCTCCCTCTCAATACAACGATTTGCACGATTTAAAAGTGATTCGAATGAGTGTTTTAGCTCGTCAACCGGGATGGCCTTGAGTATGTCGGTCGTCGCCTTTTCAATGGACTTTATGTCATCAAAATATCTTCCTTTCATTGCCAATTTTAATTTTCCGAATAGGAAAAGTCACACGGAGCTAAATCAGGTGAATATGGTGAGTGGTTGACGGTAAGAATGTGATTTTTTGTTAAAAAATCGGTCTGAATGCGAAGCGCCTTTTCGTGCTCTTTGAGTGTGTGTGGAACAAACCGTGCACAAACCTTCCGCATACCCAAATGCTCAATCAAAATGCGATGAATAGACTTATAGGATATCTCCAACTCCATTTCCATGTATCTCAACGAAGATTTTGGTTCTTTTTTGACAAAATCACGAACAATTTGAATGTTTTCATCAATAACAGCACTTTTCGGACGGCCCGAACGTTCGTCGTCTTCCAGGCTTTCACGACCATTTTTAAAACGATTAAACCACTCGTAAGTTGAGGTACGGGATAGACAATCATCACCATAAACTTGTTTCATCAATTTATGAGTCTCGGTGAAAGTTTTACCGAGTTTAAAACAAAACTTAATAACCGCTCTTTGCTCCATGATTTTTCGTCGACCAACTAACACAAGGTACTGTCACTTAAAACGCAATAATTCCAATTCAACTGTTCCAAATGTCTTGAAATTTGGAGGGAAAATCGGTGAATAATGTATCTTTCAAACGCATATACTCACACAAAGATGGCGGCACCAGAAAATGCCCTGCCAGAAAAGTTCGGAAACTTTTGACACACACCTTGTATACTGCTCTCTTGCATCTCAGCGGCAAAGTGCTCCTTCTGTGTGTATGCCAACGCAGTTGCTGAATTTCTGAGTTGCATTTCTTGACTGTTGCTTTTAGATGTGGTCCGAACATAAGGTGCTTATCCAGTGCGATACCAAGATATTTTGCTTGCGACGGCTGCTCCAGAGTGACTGCCTCTAGCTGGATTTCAGGGGTGTTGGATACAAGTCTCTTTAGTGTAAAGCCCCTGCTTCGTTCGTTATTTTTTGCGGATTGATTTTCATATTCCATCGTTTACATAAAGCAGCAAGATATTTTTAGGTATCCGGAATTTGGAATTGTAGATGACTGCGATGTCATCTGCATACGTTGCAATCAGAGCTTTGGAAGGAGCTACCATGTGATGTCTGTTTGGGCTTGGTATATCAACAGTATACAACGAGTAGAGGAGCGGACCAAGCACACTGCCCTGTGGTACTCCTGCTTTCATTCGAAAGTTATCAGAGATTATATTCCTAACTCTGACCTTAAGGGGGGGGTAAGGTTTTAAACATTTTTTTTTTATATATTTTTTTTTTATTTTTTTCTGAATGATTAATATGTCGAGAACATTGTGTAAAAATTTTGAGTCAATTAAAGTCAAACTAACGGAGTTACAGCGTTTTAAACAACCGTATTTGGGCGTATTTTCACGTATAAAAATACTTTGAATCGATTTTGCCGAACACGCTATTTTCAAAGTCGGTGCCCCTCATAACTTCAAAACTACTGCACCGATCCTTTTGAAATTTTGAACACTACTTCTGTACATATTTTACGAGGTAACGCTGTCGAGTTTTTTTTTTTTTTTTGTTCATAATTTTGATTTTGCAATGACAAATTAACCGATTTTTTCCCAAAAAATTGTGTTTTTCACTTCAAAGTCTTCGAAAAAATTAAAAAATTGGAATTTTCAAAAAACCTTCACAGCGTTACCTGGGGCGAACTATTATCTAACGAATGAACTTTCATTTTTTGATTTCGTATGATCCAGCACCGAGTTATGAGGGGCACCGCAATTCAACTTTTTTGGCGACACGTTCGGACAATTGCTACCATTGCCATATTTTTTAATATTTTTTTGTAAAAATTTGATAAAACATTCTTCTAATGTCATACTTTAATATACCGTTGGTTGAATAAATAAATTTTATCTGTGTCGTCAGGAAAAAAATCACAAAAACATGGCTTTTTTTCGCATGATTTGACCTTACCCCCCCCTTAAACTCACGTCCATCAAGGTATGATTTTAGATTTCCAAATCTATGGACTTGTTCAACAGTGCCGTGTCCTCCACGAAAGCGAAATTGGTGGTCTGGCAAGATATTGCAATGAGCCTTCGGTTTGGTATGAGTCTCTCCCACAACTTAGACAGGGAAGATAAGAGACTTATTGGACGGTATGACTCAGGATCTGCCTCTGGTTTACCGGGCTTGTGGATCATCAGAATCGCAGCCAATTTCCATTGCTTTGGAAACACTTGAAAACTAATAATAGCATCAAAAATTAATGTTATATATGGGATCGCTCTTGTGGGCAAAGCCTTTAACGTTGCATTACAGATCCTATCAATAGATGGAGCTTTATTTTTTGGTAAGGATTGATTGAATTTAGATATTTCCCCAACCCTTATCGGCTTAACAGGCAGCGACATCTCCAGTGGAGTCTCCAAACTCAGATGGGTCTCTCTATTTTGATCAAACGAAGATAAGTTATAAGGAG